GGCGCTGTCCCTCAGCTCTTCAGCTCAAGGCTAGCGCTCTACCACTTGAGCTACAGTGCCACTTCTGGCTTTTTTCATTTTGCTTTTGTGGTGCTGAGGAATCGAACCAGAGCCTTATGCATTGCAAGGCAAGCGCTCTACCACTGAGCCACCTTCCCAGCCCCTTGCCTGTCGTTTTTTTATGGCTAGACATTCACAGTTTCCCCTTACTTTAGAATATGTTGTTGATGGTTATAGTCCCCTGCTTACTGCTGGATCTTAAACCCCATTCCTTCTATGGGAAATGTTGTGCACTTTGATGGACAGCTCCTATGCACTCCCCCACCAGCCCTCAGTAGACATTGTTTATCCTCTACTTCCATGAGCTCGGCTCAACCAAATTCCCCAAATGAATGACACCCTAGATTTGCCTTGTGTCATCCATCTTGTCCCCAGTAACACAAGTCCCTCCCCCCCCACCCCGACCCCCCTTTATTTTGTGCTGGCCTTGGGAATTTCACAAAGGGCCTGGCTGCTTTCTTTGAGCTTCTTTTCCTCAAGGCTAGCCTCCACCATTTGAGCCAGAGTTCCACCTGCAGCTTTTTGTGTGTGTGTGATTCATTGGAGGTAAGAGTTTTATGGACTTTCATTCCAACTGTGATCCTCAGATGTCAGCCTCCTGAGCTGCCAGTGCCCTGTGGATTTTGCCTTTTTTAAGGTAACCAGATTGTTTCTCCAGTAAAAATCTTACTTGTTTAATGTGACATCACAAAGCAAACATACCAGTGCTATCATGTGCATAGTTAGCCTCTGAATGTCTCCCTTAATTATGAAGAATGCCACCCAGTTGGCTGACTGCAGTGGAAGGAAGATCAAGCTGCCAGGAAGCAGCTGTTAAAGCAGATGTGGGTGAAGGTGTAGAATTCTCTACTATGCCCTATTTAAGTCAGCTTGAATGTACACTCACCACCCACCATCCTAATCACATGAATACCAAAAAAATGGAATGAAAACCTGCCGTGCGGCTGGGAGCTATAGAGTTATAGGTTCATACCTATAATTCTCAGCTACTCAGGAGGTTGAGATCTGAGAGTTCTGGTTCAAAGCCAGTCTGGGCAGGAAAGCCTACGAGACTCTTCAATGAGCCAGCATAACACCAGAACTGGAGGCATGGTTCAGGTGGTAGAGTATCAGACATGAGAGAAAAAGCTAAATGATGTCCACGAGGCCCTGAATTCCAGCCTGAGCTGGCAAGCACCAAGTGCATGTGGACATGTAAATCAGGCTCGAAGGGAGTGGAGCTGTGGTGATTACAAGGACCATCTGCTTCTCCTCCCACCTTCGTTATGAATGTTTGCCTTGCTGGCCTCTAACTGCGATCCTTGCCCTGTCAGCCTCCCAAGCAGCTAGGATTACACACATGAGGCACAGACACCTGGTTACTATATTAATTTTTGATGGCTACTTGCTCCTATACTAACGTTCTGTTTGTAATTGATCTTGCCCTCTTTTTCCCTCTCATCTGTCTTTCATTTATGTATCTATATACTTGTTACCTACCTGTCATTATGTATCTATGTATGTATCTACATGTGTCTGTCATCTATCTACCTATCATCATCTGTCACTTATCATGTATGTATCTATTATACATCTACCTATCTGTCCTTTATCATTATCTACCATCTGTCTGCATATCTGCAGCTATCAATTTGTCTACCATCATCTGTCATTTATTTATCTGTCACATATGTATCCATCATTGACTTACCATCTGTCATTTATATAAAGATATTATCAATTATCTATCTATTGATAGATAATTGATTGATCTATAACCATGGTTGATCTAAAATCATGTCCTTATTTCTCCCTCTCTGTAAGCTTACATAATATTCTTTCCCTGGAATTCCTGTTATTCAAAATTCAGACAATAAAGGACTAGACACTTAAATTCTTTTACTCTGCTTAAAAAAAAAATCTCTCACTTGCATTCCTTCTGCTTTCTAGAAGGATTTTCCATTCTACTGCCTTTGGAATATAGGTCAGTGTGTTGGAAAGTAGGTGAAAGAAGAAAACTTGTTAGTGTAATATTCCATGTAAAAACATTCACCTAGCCCGCCTCCTCTTAATAGCACTCATCTGCCCTGTATTCTCTTTGGCTCTTCCCAGTACAGTTTCCTTCCCATACAGGATGGGGAGAGAGCACAGTCACCCTTCCTACAAAAGTTTCTAAACCAGCGCGGCGCTGGTGGCTCACACCTGCTATCCTAGCTAGTCAGGAGGCTGAAATCTGAGCATCACTGTTCAAAGCCAACCGAGGCAGGAAAGTCTGTGAGACTCTTGACTCCAGTTATCCTCCAAAAAGCCAGAAGTGGAGCTGTGAATTAAGTGGTAGAACGCTAGCCTTGAGCACAAAAGCTCAGCAATAGTACTCAGGCCTGAGTTCAAGCCCCAGGATTGGCACCAAAACAAAACAAACAAAAAAAACGCAAAACCTTCTAATCAAACCGGTTTGTTCTTTCTCTACCTAAACCCCTTTCACCTAGGAGCTCAGTCCTCATTCACATTCCTGATCTTTGGAATAGTTAGCTTATGGTATAATTTAGATTGTTTCTTATTCTTTTCCACTGTTCTTCCGTATTTTTCTTTTGGCAGTACTGGGGTTTGAACTCTGCACTTTGTGCTTGTTAGGCCACTTCCCTATTTGTGGTAGTGTCTTAGTGCTAGGTGCTGCACTGTTATGCTGCACCTGCAGCTAAAAATTTTTTACATCTGCTTGGCTTGTGCTTTGTAAAAAGTTCCTTTGTGGAAGGAGTGAGGGGTGGGCATGCGAATGGGCAGAGAGGGTGAATTTGAAATGAAATTGATTGCCATTTTACTCAGAATACAGAACACTTGTTTGTTTCTTTTTGTCAGTCATGGGGTTCGAACTCTGGGCCTGGGTGCTGTCCCTCAGCTCTTCAGTCAAGGCTAGCACTCTTATCACTTGAGCCACAGCAACACTTCTGGTTTTCTAGTGGTTAATTGGAGATGAGTCTCATGGGACTTTCCTACCCTGGCTGGCTTTGCACCCAGATCCTCAGATCTCAGCCTTCTGAGTAGCTAGAATGACAGGCGTGAGCCACCAGCACCCAGTGAGAATACATTTTTTTATTATACAGCTTTTTTCTGGGTGGAGTAGTATATAAATGTGTAGAACAGCCACACCCATCAATATAGCTACTTCCCATCTTCAAATTAAATAATTATTAAAACTATACATATCTTAATTGTCTACCATCTCCCCTCAAATTTCCCTTTAAGTTTTTGAATGAATAGGTGTGTGTGTGTGTGTATTGGGGCTTGAACTCAGGGCCTGGGCACTTTAGCTTTTTCACTCAAGACTGACACTCTAGCATTTGAACCACAGAACCACTTCTCTTTAATTTGTTCCAAGAGGATATTTGAATGTGAAGCCATTTAGCCCGTGGGGAGCATGGCTTAGTCAGGCCCTGCTGGGTCCTTGTTCTTCCCGTGGTGCTTCTCAGTCACCTTTCCCAGCCCTGAGAACGTCCACAATTGATTTTAGTCAGCAGCTAGCAGAAATGGCATTTTAAGTAGGACAACTTGTTATATTAAAAATCCTGGTCACAGAATAAAATGTCTGCGGAGTTGGTGTAAATAATGACTGTGGGAGAGGAGAGGCCATGGGAAGTATTTCAGTCTCCCATTCATCACCCAATCCGGCTTGTCAGCATTCCATTTGCAGTGCCCTGTAAAATTAATGACATCAACTTAAAAGTAGCTTTTAATTGAAGATCAAGGTCCCTGGTAGAGTGTGCTCTACCTCCCCCCTCCTCTGCAAATCACAGCAGGAAGTCTTCCTAGCGAAGGAGGCTCAGGTACAGCAGGTAGATAGTCCCAATGTTGGCATGTATATGTGCTTCTAAGTTGAAAGTTTTTCATTTCACTGAGAAAGTATGCATAGAGACCATTACTTTGCCTGGCTCAGGGTGTAAATGGTCGGATTCCACCCTTATAAAAATGGAAATTCTGCTTGAGTCCTTAACTTGTTTCAAAAAGCTATTTATTTGTTCAAGGAAGGAGTTTCATTGTGATCTTTCCCTGCATACCTGCAATACCTAGATCAAACTCACCCCTTCCTTCACCTTCCCTCCCCCTCCCCCTCCTAAAATAGCTTCCCCAGGTCCCATGGTTCTGTTCACATAAGGCAAATAAGCTACTTAGGCCTTATACATCCTCACTCACCATTAACTGGTTCACCCTGGCACCTCCTGCTGATACTAGCTCCACTGCACGTTTTCAAGAGAAAAGAAATCAGCCTCGATTTATAGAGCAACTGTTTCCACAGCTTCCATACTCCATCCTATGCACAGAAGGGAAAGCTCAGCAGTGCTCAGAAGCCATCACACAAAGACACGCGGTGTTACTCCTAAAGTCTTATAAGTTGTCCTTATTCCAAAATCCTGATGTTTGCAAGCCTTTTCTTCTTATTTCTTCTTTTTTCCCCTGTGTCTGTTTGATGTGATGAATCAAAAACATAAAACAAGAAGAAAAGACCCGTTTCCCAAAGCAACCTGAAAATGTGAATCTCTGATTGAATTGTGGGCACTTTTGACAGTGAACTGCACATACGTGTGGGTTATGAAACCCAGACGCGTTCAGGCCTTCAGTCTCTGGTTGACTTGTGAGCACGCCTATCTCCTCTCTCTGACTCTGCCTCGATATTTCATGCAGTTACTGGGGCTTGAACTCAGAGCCTCACACTCTAACTTAGATTCTTCACTCAAGGCGAGCGCTCTACCACTTGAGCCACAGCTCCATGTCCAGCTTTTTTGGTGGTTCATTGGACGGAGATAAGAATCTCACAGGCTTTCCTGCCCAGGCTGGCCTCGAACCGTGATCCTCGGGTCTCAGCCTCCCAAGTAGCTAGGATTACAGGCATTGCACCCGGGTACTGCAGCAGCAGGGCCCGGGCATCTCTTTAAGCGTGGGTCATACGATGTCTCTGTTTGCAGGCGCCATGAAGGACCGGCTGGCAGAACTGGTGGAGTTGTCCCAAAACTACGATCAACAGCTCGCAGATGGGGACGATGACCGGGACCCGCCGGGCGAGCACGTCATGTTCGAGACAGACCACCTCCTGGAGTCCTTGTACCGCGACATCCGGGACATCCAGGTGGAAAACCAACTGCTGGTGGCCGACGTGAAGCGCCTGGGGAAGCAGAACGCGCGCTTCCTCACGTCCATGCGGCGCCTGAGCAGCATCAAGCGCGACACCAACTCCATCGCCAAGGCCATCAAGGCGCGGGGCGAGGGCATCCACCGCCGGCTGCGCGCCATGCACGAGCGCGCCCAGGAGGCCGAGGCCCGGCACGGCGCGCACTCCACGCTGGCGCGCATCTGGCGCGCGCAGCACGGCGCGCTCTCGCGCACCTTCCAGCGCGCCATGCACGAGTACAACCAGGCGGAGATGAAGCAGCGCGACAACTGCAAGCTCCGCATCCAGCGGCAGCTGGAGATCATGGGCAAGGACGTGTCGGGAGAGCAGATCGAGGCCATGTGCGAGCAGGGCAAGTGGGACGTGTTCTCCGAGAACCTGCTGGCCGACGTGAAGGGCGCCCGCGCCGCGCTCAACGAGATCGAGACCCGCCACCGCGAGCTGCTGCGCCTGGAGAGCCGCATCCGCGACGTGCACGAGCTCTTCCTGCAGATGGCCGTGCTGGTGGAGAAGCAGGCCGACACGCTGGACGTCATCGAGCTCAACGTGCAGAAGACCGTCGACTACACCGGCGAGGCCAAGGTGCAGGTGGGCAAGGCCGTGCAGTACCGGAAGAAGAACCCCTGCCGGGCCATCTGCTGCTTCTGCTGCCCCTGCATCCACTAGCCGCTGCCACCACCGTCCCCACCTCCCCCCCCCCCATCGCCAGGCAGCGGGACCCCCCACTGGGCCTCTTTATAGAACTCAGGCAACCCGGCCTGGGGGGATGGGGGTGGGGGCGCTGGTGGCTCAGGCCTGTCAATCCTCACTGCTCAGGAGGCTGAGATAGGAGGATCAAGGTTTGAAGTTAACTGGACAGAAAAGTCCAAAAGACTCTCAGCTTTCAATTCGCTACCAAAAGAAAGGAAAAGCCAGAAATGGCGCTGTGTCTCACATGGTAGAGCGCGCCAGCGCTGAGCAGAAAGGCGCAGAAAAAGCCAAGTGAGAGTACAAGGCCCTGAGTTTAAAGCCTGGCACAACATGGAAGGGAGGGAAGGAAGAAGGGAGGGAGGGAGGGAGGGAGAAGGAAGGAAGGATCGTCCCATGGTTCTTCAGGAGAGAGAAAGAAAAAATAGAACCCAACTCTTGCTTGGTACTATCCCTTGGGTCTTCATTCCTACTGCAGTTGTGTGAGGCCTGACATACCACGTGACCCTCCCCGTCTCCCTCTGCCTGTGTCTTGACTGCAGGCCCAGTGTGTAAGAGTTGCTTTCCAGTGGACTCAAGGAGGAAGGCAATGTTGCACCTGCTAATACTATGAACTCATCAAAAATGCCTTTCATTGCCCTCCCTTTCCTAGTTCTGTTCCATTTCAAGTGCTCTTGCATTTCCTGAGTCTGTGAGTCTTCCTCTGATGTACGCAGTGGTCTCCTGCCTGCAATGGCATTTGCTTTCTGCTCAGCTCCACTACTCCTTAAAAGCACTTTGAACACGTGCTTTTCTTACGCCTTTCACTTGTACTATTTTCCACCAGAATATATTTTGTGATAATTTTTTAAATGTTTTTAATCACCGAATGTTGAACACGCACTCAAAGCATGTATCCGTCACAGTGTTTTTGTATTTTCCATTATGTATTTTTTCACGTTTATTTAAAAATTATCTTTTTACTGGACTGCAAATGCACATGGATGTGTAAATGTAAAATACTAATATTTCCTAATGTGTACATAATGATCAGTGGGGTTAACTTTACTTTTATAAATATAATATATAAATAACAAGAAAATACTTTTTTTCCTCCTGGCTATTGGTGTTGATTTGCTTGTTTTGATTTTTCTCTTACTGCAGTTTGGATCTCCACCACATCTCCACAAACACCATGTTTGTATTCAACATGTTCAGTCTGGGTGCCAGCGGCTCATGCCTATAATCTTAGCTAGTCAGAAGGCTGAGATCTGAGGGTCATAGTTCAAAGCCACTCTAGGCAGGGAAGTCTGAGAGACTCTTATCTCCAGTGAACCACTCAAAGTCCAGGAGTAGAGCTGTGACTCAGTGGTAGAACATACACACACACACACACACACAGAGTCACATACCACAGAAATTAGCACTGAAAACAGTAGTCTTACTGTGGACCATTCCTTTTGATTATTAAGGAGAAGTAATTTTAAATGAAGGAATCCTGCTTGTGAAATAAGCCTGATGAATACATCATTGTAAATATCCCTTTTATATACAGATACTGTGGACATTTAAATCTCAGTTTACCTTTTAAAATGTTATAATTTTTACCGTTTGCTACTTGAGGCCACAGCATCTGAAAGCAGAGGGAGAGGATTGGAACATTGGAAGCATTCGCCATAAGGTGTCTTGTTCCGTGAAGCCATCAGGTTATAGACCTTTGGTTTCATTGCAGTTTGCAATGTCTAAACCACACACCATGCTTCTTGTTTGCCTTCTAGGGCAACTCTTAATTCTTGTGATCCATTATTTAATACATGAGCAGTTCTAATCATTGGCCCTATTTCTTGGGTCCTTCAGAGGTTTTTGTTTTTCTTTTTTTTTTTCTTTTTTACTGGGGATTGGACAAGGCAAGCACTCAGCACTTGAGCTATGCCCCTTTTCTTTGCATTTTGTTTTTGAGGTAGGATCTTGCTAACTTTTCCCAAACTGACCTTGAAATTTCAACCTTCCTACCTCTGCCTCCCGAGTAGCTTGGATTGCAGTCATGAACCACCACACCTGACTCAGAAGTGGGATTATAAAAGAACAGACAGAGAAGAACATGAATTTGGGGCTTGTGATCTGAGCTGTCTAAGAAAATTTGGGCCTGTCCTTAGTTTCATGGTTAAGTGTGAGAGTTGTGAAAAAGTCATGAGACTCTTATCAGAATTTGCCTTTTTTTTTCCAGCTCACTCCATGAGAAATTCCCCCACTGACTTATTCCCTTTTCTAAGAGGAAGGAAGAAATCTTTATGAGAAGTTCCTCTGCCACAGGCTTATTATTATTATTATTGTAGAGAAGACAGACTACAAATGGAGACTGTAGTTACTTTTCACAAGAAGGAAAAATTCATAAATTCAGCTTTGTTAAACTCCTAGGGAATTTTCTTCACATAGAACCATCATAAAAGTAAATGAATATTCAGGCTGTGTGTTTTGTTCCTCATTTTACCTTGGAGAACTGAGTAAAGACTACACTATTCTCTACTGAACTCAAGCATGATAGAGTGTTGCCACTTGAATGTGGCATACTGCTTAAGATACAGATTCTGGCCAGAGGGGTAGATAACACATATAATCCACCTACTCAGGAGGCAGAGATCAGGAGGATTGTATTTCGAGGCAAGGTCAGAAAAAAAAAAGTTCTTGAGATTCCATCTCAACCAACTAAAAAACTAAAAATCTGCGTACATATCTGTCACCCCAGCTAGGCAGGAAGGTTAAATAGCAGGATCCAAGTTCAGGATTGCATGGGCATAAGTTCAAGACACGATTCAAGAAGTAAGAAAAGCATAAAGTGTTGGTGGGCATGCCTAAAATGGACTTCCTGCCAAGCAAAGACAAGGCCTCAAGTTCAAATCCCAGTTCCACCAGAAGAAAGAAAAAGAGAAGGAAGGAATGCAGATTCCATTCCCAAGGTTTGAACGCTGTCTCTGCCACAAAGCAGCAGCGTAATGTTACCATTTTACTCATATTCTTCATTTGTCTTATGGGGACAATGGCACCTACTTTACAGTTGCCCCAAAAAGTGACAAAAATATAAAAGCCCTGGAAAGGTGCCTGGCACATACTCAGTGTTGTGTTCATCAGCATGGGAGGAATTTCTCTTCGACTGAGAGCTGTTAATGACTCAAGGAAGTTTATAGGGGCCAGGTTTGGAAGCGCATACTACAATCCCAGTTCTCAGGAAGATGAGGTAGGAGATTACTGTCCAAGGCAGGCCTGGGCAAAAGTGTGAGGCCCATGTGCAAAAGCAAACTGAAATGGGGGCATGGCTGAAATGATAAGAGTACTTGCCTAGCAAGGGGAGACAGGGCCTTGAGTTCAAATCCTAGTACTACCACCAAAAGAAAGACAAGACAGACAGAAATAAGGAAGGAAGGAAGGAAGGAAGGAAGGAAAGAAAGAAAACCAAGGAAGGAAATAAATTTGGAGGGAAAATAATTTTTCTTTTAATAATCTTCAATGAAACATAATAAACTAAGATATTATCTTTTCTGAATATTCTACCCTTCTGGAGAACCCTATGATAAAGCTGTTTTCATGGTGGTATTTCTATTCCTCTGTATATCCACACGTATTCTGCACCACCAAAGCTGATGAGCAGAGGGGTCCTTCTGGCAAGTGCTTTTTCCCACTCCTTCCTAAACCATGAGTCAGAAATGCCCCGTGGAGTTCTGGGAAATTGTCCAGGTCAGACCACAGCCCTGAAGAGAGGTATCATGTGCCCTTCTCCCGCCTAGTCCTGGCCTGCAGGCACCTGAGCTGTGACATCCATGCCCCGCAGTGAATGAAATGCCAGCTTCTTCCTCCACAAGAAGTGTTCCAGGGGCCCCAGGAAGTGCTGCAGTTAGCTTACCACACACTGGAACCCCTGGCTTGGCTAACTTGGAAAGGTGACTTGGGGCAAAGAAGACCTTGTGGCAATACTGAAAATTGCAGACACAAATGTCACCTAGCGTAGGAATGGAAAGGGCTAGTCACAAATAAGAACAGCTCTCCAGAAAGCAAAAGCTATTTCAACAGATACAGGAACCTTAGAGACTTCACAGGTACAGCTAAGCCACAGCTATTAGAAGACAGGTAAGTTAGAATGTTTTAACGGTCAGCCATGGGTGCAGATTTAGATATAGATATAAATTCAGGGTGGGCAGCGGAGGAGAGATACTTGAGGCAGGCATTCTTCTCACTGAACCATTCTCCAGCTCCTCCTTTCAGAAAAAGTCTCACTGTTATGCCTAGGCTAAGAATGGACTGTGATCCTCCTATTTGTGCTTCCCTGAGTTGCTGGGATGGCAGGCATATGCAATGGTACTCAGACACTGGTTGTGATGGAATGTTGCAAACACTCCCTCCCCCCACCCTAAACTGACCTCAAACTACAATTCTCCCATCTCCACCTTGCCAGTAGCTAGGATTACAGTCTTGAGCTACTGTACTTGGCCCAAAATGTTTGAATAGTGACATCATAGGAGTAACTTTATGCCTTTTAAGATAACAATTTGGAAAGAGAACAGTGCTATGCTCATTCCAATGTCTTGATATTTATTTAAAACAATACCTTTATTTTGTTTTCATCATACCAAGGTCTGGAGTCAACTCATCCAGTCTCAGAAGAGTGAAACTCTTTTCTTCAGGAAAGACATCCATCCATTCATAAGAACTGTACGCACCCTCTTGACCCCAACACTCCCACTTGCGGGCCAAGCCCTCCACAGGCGTCTGGGTGAGGTCAGGCCTCACCAAATCATAGTACTGACCTGGCAAGCTGACCGGAGGAAGTCAAAGCATGAGGTTCAGGCACTGAGGCCCGCCAACCGGGGAAGCAGAGGCTGGGAGGAAATATGTTAGGAAAAGCCCAGACTCATAATGAAGCTGTAAAACTGTTTATAGCTGCAAATAATTTCCTTTCCTTTTTATTCTCTCAACTGTACAAAAAGAAATATCTCTCTCTATCTATCTATCTATCTATCTATCTAATTTGGGGGACTGGGAATGTAGCTTAGTGGTAGAGTTTGTTTTGCTTTCCCAAGGCTCTGAATTTGACCACTAATA